TTCTAAAAAAATAAGCTACTTGTTAATGTTATCTGTTTTATTTATTTTTGGCAAGATTAATTGTTGCTTTTTTTTTTACTTTCTCCTTGACCCTTTTTAACAGTTTATTTACAATATATTGGTCCTGACTTAAATATGTAAAAAGGGTGACATAGAACTGTTTTGCCTACGTAGACATTTCAATTTGAGGTCACCTGTTTTTCATTTTGTTTTACTATTACTGTATGAAATTATATTACTGAGACCCTAAATTCTCATTTATGATATATAGCAATCTATGTTTTTATATTGTAGATAAAATAGGTACAATATATACAGAAAAATGAGAATGGTTTGTCTTTGTGTAGTAAAATAATATTGTGCATATATTTATGCATATTTTTCTTAAATGCATATTTTAGTAAATCACATAACATCTTTATATATTTAATTCTAAATGCAGACCTTTTGATTGTAAGCTTTCTAAGAAAAAAATAATTTGTCTTTTTAAAGATGGCAAAGGATTTTTTGTGAGGAGTTTTTTGGTGCCTCAGAAATAGTATGTGTTTTTCAGGTCCCATAAAGAAAAAATATTTTTATAGCCTTTGGTGCTGTCTACATCTCAGAGCTGTCAGGTGTACTTGCTGGTTGATTTGTAGCTCTTCAAATGATGTAATTTTGTTTGCTAGCTAGAAATGCCAGAAGGCGATGATAAGGAGGATTAAAAGCTTTAAAGTGCTTGTGTAGAAATTACCTATTGACTACATTGCGAATAGACTCCTAGTTCATCCCCTGGTGCCTTGAGATACTACATCCACTGAAGTTGCTCATCAGCTAGCCAACAGGAGCTTCAGTAGATCCTCTACAAAGCAGACTCCAGCCTGATGCTCATTGATACTAACAGAGGTCTACCTGTTTGCTTCTGGAAAAGGTAGCAAAAATCGATTGGATCCATAAAGGTCCAGTCTGTGCACTTTTCACATTCTGTGTGATTGTGACTGGAAGGTAAAATCTCCTGCTGAAAGTATTACATGAAAACGCTGGTCTTTTCTGCACTTATTCTTTGTTATAGTACAGTGCAATGGAATAAACATGCTGTACATATTAAAATATATATTCGGGAATTGAAGTCATATTTTGGTGAAGGGGAGGTAAATGAATCCATAGTGTTTTATATGGATGTTGTTCACAAATTTGTGTGGATGTTAACATTCCAAACTTTTTTTGGCATTTCTGTATTTAATTAAAAGATAAAGATAAAGATAATTTGAAGATAAATTATTACAACTGGGAATGCAATTGTAATAATAAGTGAAAAAGAAAAAGAATGTTCTGAGTATGGATTTGTCTAACCTCCAAAGCAGCTTCAGCACACAGTATTTAGCGATAAGTACTACTCTTTACAGGGTTCAACATACTGGCTTACAATCAGACTTTCTTTGTTTGGTATACTATCCCATAAAAATCCACCTCTTCCATTTTCCAAGTTCACAGTGCTCACAGGCTCTTGTGGTGACTTCATCTTGTTTGGTTCTCCATTGGACTCTTAAAGCCCCAAAGCTAATATTCTGTGTATGCACTCTATCTCACTTTCTGTGAGAAAGCATAAAAAAATCAGAATTATTCAGCTAACTAAATATAATATTGAACCAATGGTAGCATCCAGCATTTGAACTTACTGGCCTTTTTATATATTGAAAAGTCTTACGTCCATGAACCTGTGTGTTAAGGTGCATGAAAATCAGCTCAGGTTAAGAAGCGATGTCCATTTGATCCTCAATTACAGCATTTCCAGAAGCAGTTTCCATACAGAATGCATACTGCTCACTGTAACCATTCACAAAATGATAACATTTAATTAGTAGAAATAATTGAAGAGACACAATTTGAGAGTTATGAGCTTGGGTGACATTTTGATCTGAGTGTTATTTCGAGAGTTAAACTCATCTGGGACTCCCAGCACAGAAGCTGAAAGCATTGACTGAAGTGTTGTGTGCAAATCGTGTGAGTTTAGTATTTAATGGAATTTGATGCACCACTTGAGTATATGTCATGACTGCAATATGGACTGATAAATCTTGATAAGAAATTTTGTCTTTTCTGCCCTCTTCCACTTTTGATAGTTATCTAAACATTAAATAGTTTATTATTTTAAACAAGTAAATTGGTAATACCTGGACAACATTGTAATCTTGAGATCCACAACATTTGTTTATAAAACCACCAAACCAAAATAATTTCCTAAATAAAAATCCATAGTATTTAACCATCACATGACCTTTATGATTCTATCACTGATTTCTATATACACTGTCCATGTTTACAAGGTAAAAACTTTTAATATTGTACAGTGCCTTGCGAAAGTATTCGGCCCCCTTGAACTTTTCAACCTTTTGCCACATTTCAGGGTTCAAACATAAAGATATAAATTTTTTATTTTATGTGAAGAATCACCAACAAGTGGGACACAATTGTGAAGTGGAACGAAATCTATTGGATTTTTGAAACTTTTTTAACTAATAAAAAAATGAAAAGTGGGGCGTGCAAAATTATTCGGCCCCCTTGCGTTAATACTTTGTAGAGCCACCTTTTGCTGCGATTACAGCTGCAAGTCGCTTGGGGTATGTCTCTATCAGTTTTGCACATCGAGAGACTGAAATTCTTGCCCATTCTTCCTTGCAAAACAGCTCGAGCTCAGTGAGGTTGGATGGAGAGCGTTTGTGAACAGCAGTTTTCAGCTCTTTCCACAGATTCTCGATTGGATTCAGGTCTGGACTTTGACTTGGCCATTCAAACACCTGGATACGTTTATTTGTGAACCATTCCTTTGTAGATTTTGCTGTATGTTTGGGATCATTGTCTTGTTGGAAGATAAATCTCCGTCCCAGTTTCAGGTCTTTTGCAGACTCCAACAGGTTTTCATCCAGAATGGTCCTGTATTTGGCTGGATCCATCTTCCCCTCAATTTTAACCATCTTCCCTGTCCCTGCTGAAGAAAAGCAGGCCCAAACCATGATGCTGCCACCACCATGTTTGACAGTGGGGATGGTGTGTTGAGGGTGATGAGCTGTGTTGCTTTTACGCCAAACATATCGTTTTGCATTGTGGCCAAAAAGTTCGATTTTGGTTTCATCTGACCAGAGCACCTTCTTCCACATGTTTGGGGTGTCTCCCAGGTGGCTTGTGGCAAACTTTAGACGAGACTTTTTATGGATATCTTTGAGAAATGGCTTTCTTCTTGCCACTCTTCCATAAAGGCCAGATTTGTGCAGTGTAAGACTGATTGTTGTCCTATGGACAGACTCTCCCACCTCAGCTGTAGTTCTCTGCAGTTCATCCAGAGTGATCATGGGCCTCTTGGCTGCATCTCTGATCAGTCTTCTCCTTGTCTGAGCTGAAAGTTTAGAGGGACGGCCAGGTCTTGGTAGATTTGCAGTGGTCTGATACTCCTTCCATTTCAAGATGATCGCTTGCACAGTGCTCCTTGGGATGTTTGAAGCTTGGGAAATCTTTTTGTATCCAAATCCGGCTTTAAACTTCTCCACAACAGTATTACGGACCTGCCTGGTGTGTTCCTTGGTCTTCATGATGCTCTCTGCGCTTTCAACAGAACCTTGAGACTATCACAGAGCAGGTGCATTTATACAGAGACTTGATTATACACAGGTGGATTCTATTTATCACCATCAGTCATTTAGGACAACATTGGATCATTCAGAGATCCTCGCTGAACTTCTGGAGTGAGTTTGCTGCACTGAAAGTAAAGGGGCCGAATAATTTTGCACGCCCCACTTTTCATTTTTTTATTAGTTAAAAAAGTTTCAAAAATCCAATAGATTTCGTTCCACTTCACAATTGTGTCCCACTTGTTGGTGATTCTTCACATAAAATAAAAAATTTATATCTTTGTTTGAAGCCTGAAATGTGGCAAAAGGTTGAAAAGTTCAAGGGGGCCGAATACTTTCGCAAGGCACTGTATATACATGAGCAGGGAGTGATGAACTTCTAGACAGATATTTTTGGTGTTATTTTGCACTATTGCACTAAAAGAACAACTGTGCACTTCAAACCTACATCTTGTAAAAGCATTACATTTTTAGAACATTATTCAGACAGAAAGTATAGCACTTTCTCTACTACTGTAGTCTGTACCTTTGTCTTAAATGTTAAGATTGCTCTATTATTTTTGTATAGCTACATTTAGCAGCTCTGGAAAATAAAGGCCACAATCTCCAAACTACTGTATCACAATAAGCTACAGCTAAAATGAGAATAATTCTGCAAAGCAGACTGCTAAATCTCTCATAATATGTACGTGTATATACATATATATTTATTTGTGTTCTGATTATAAATGATCTTTAAATACATTATAGAATTTTTGAGGGCATTAACACTGAGATTAGTCAGGATTGTAGACTTTCACCTTTTCAGTTGTTTTGCAATATTTGGCAAGTTATTTTTAAATTTGTATACACACATGTACAGTGTATGCATGTTGGAATTCTTTTCTTGCAGAGTGTAGTGTTTCAGGAGTAGAAATAGAATTTTAATAGAATACACTTTAGTGCAATTCCAGTGCAAGTTAGTAGCTGAACTTCACATTATCACATCTGATGATTATAAAAGTAGTGTACTGTGAGTTATGAATATATTCTCACATTGCAATTGCGAAAATAAATATTTTACAACATCCCTCTAAATAGAAACTGTTATTAGTTTAATTGTAATATTGTTTTATGTGTTTCCTATAAAAAATAGTCATGACCTTGTAAAATCAGATGGCCAATTACACACGTCTTATCTAATTGTCCTAAGAATCGCATTTTTAATGAGTAAAACATGAGTGCCATGTACTCTTCAAGAAAGGACAAAGCTTTTAAGAGTAATGGAATTGTCATTATACTGCAAAGACCTAACAATAGAACCTGTCAAGTCATCATCATCCTTTTTTGCCTTTTTTGACACTTGGCATGTCACACACTAATGTTGTTTTTTTTTTTCTCTGAATCTATTCCCAGTACGCCTGCGATCAGACCGTCTCACTCTCATTGAAGAATGCATCGCTCAGTGCCCAACAGCTTATAAGCAGTACACAAAACTCCTGGGACTTGCAAATCTGCTGAGGGTCGCAGGTAATGTAGTGTAACTGTTTAAGTGTGTACAATACCATGAACACAAATGTGATATGCTAAGTAGAAGATATTGAACCTTTGAGATGCATATTCATGGATGTTGTGACAAGGCGCCAGAGGGATACAGGTTCGTTGCCTGTTTTAATACATCTTCAGGGTTTTACTTTTTTCTCAGTTAAATTCATTTTAGATTTTGGAGAAAATAGCATTCTCTTGCTAATACAGGATTGTGTTGTACGTACACTAATATTAAAAGAAGAGTGTGTCTAAAAAAAGGGGAGTTCGTTTTGGCACTAAAGAGCCCTAAGATGTGTTTTACATTTTTCTTGTGATTGGCTGTTCAGGCTAGAGGGAGTAATGGAGGACCTTCTTCTGCAATGTTTTTGATTTAAGGTTGAATGAGGCAGAAAGTATAAGAAGTAATCATCCAGGTTAGATTGTCAGAAACCAGCATAAATTGACTTTTACTAAATTTCTCAATCTGGAATTGGGAATATTACAGATGTTAAATCTTTAATATATAATCATGCTTCAGATGTAAATTATAATGCAAGTTAATACTCCATTAATGTGCTTGTGCTTAAAGGAATTGTGCCTGCATAGTTTGTTACAGCTTTCTACAATCTGTTGCCCAGTAGTTAAATAATGACACCACCAAGTCTTTGACTGAAGATAATTTATCGCAATCATGTGTGGTCACTAGGCATGTCAAATGAAGAACAGCTGAATATGTTCCCCTTTCACTGTCTGATAGCACTCTGGATTTCTAGTACGTTGACTGCAGGTTTGAGGCTCTTTAGACTGGAATGAACGATTACTCCCTTCCAGGAGAAAGACTAGAAGGATTTGTCCTGCACTGTTTAATTCAGTGCACACTTCAGACTGATGAAGGCATTGACAGACATGCTTAGATTTTGAATCTGTCATTTTTTTTCTTTTGTGTCTTGCCAGAAGGGTTGAATGAGAAACAGGTATTGTCAAATCAATGCAAAACCTCTCCCTCTCAGGTGCTGGTAGATTTTGCATGAACACATCCTGCCATAGACACCTGTGCTATTTCATATGGACATCTCAGTGGCTTTTGGGCTTATAATAGTCACAGTAGAGGAGCTCATTTTTTTTTCCTGTTTAATTTTGCTTACATTCAGTCTGTCTTGTTTCATTTTTTCTGCAAATTTGAAGTCACAAATTGCTTCAGTACATCGGTATTTTAACAATACTAGATCTTAATCCATATAATCTAATTAGATACAATACAGGTATGTATGTAATAATTCATTTTTGCATTTCATCCTTTACATCTGTTTCCTTAGTGATAGTTTGGTTAATATAAAGGTTTATGATGATGAAAAGCCAAACATATATAAAAAGCTACATAATTAAAATGTACTTGACATTTAAACAACTTTCATTAAAAGGATAGAGTAGAGACAATGGCAAAATGAGCAAATTAAAAGAAATTCTGAATTTAAAATAACTATTATGTCTTTATTACACAGCTTTAAGTATGTAGAAAATTATTTGTAAGTTTTCACAAACTGTTATTTAACCTCACCCCAAATGGAACACAAGGTCAATATCCTTCTGAAATGGATGCATCTTTTAATAATCTTGAATGATGTTGGAAACTTGCACAGCCTAGGCCTTGGTAGGGTCTTGAATTCAAGGGATCCCCTTGACCATCAATTCTGAAATTTCAAGTTTTCATGTCTTACTCAGTACACAGATTAGAAATAAATATTCAGAACAACGAGAGGGGAAAAAAAACATCAAACACATTGTCTGTCTTAATAAGTCAATTTTTCAAGTTGTAGTACACCTAGAATGTAAATTTATTTGCTAGTATGTAGTACCTTGAATACAAATTTGCAAGTGATTGAACAAATATAAACATTTCTCCATTAATTTTGCATTTACTTACTCTACTTGCAGTGCTTGAAAGGGTATTAATGGTGTTTAAACAATAGAAAAGTCTGTTTTTGAACTTTCTTGCAAGCTACTGGTGAACAGATATTACAAATTGACAAGAAGCTTTGTGATCTTTACTTGAAGAAAAAAATAGCATGGCAAATGCCTCAGATCCTCCTCTACATCTTTGAATGGTCAGAATTCACTCAATGACAGTTATTTCTACCTGTTACATCAGCATTTCATAGGCGGTTGGTTTGAAAATATTAGGAACTCTTTGGTCAGCAATTTCTAGACACAACATTAATAATATGGAAGTGAACTAAACAATTGTACAACTGAACATAAAGTTTATACTGCTTTACAAGGTAAGCACAATGGGTTTTATGTATTTTGACAAATGTTTGCTTTTATGATTGTATTTTGGTGGAGAATTTTTAAATTATCAACACTTTGGAGCTTCTCTGAACTGCAATGCCGGAGAAAAATAATCTGTTACTATATCTGGTGTTATCTGGTTTCTAAATATACTGTTGTGAAGTTTAGATTGTCTTGCGTCTTGTGATATAAACTTTGTGTTTTGATTTTGCTGGTACAAAATTGATTAAATTCACTGGTTGTAAGCTCTATATAATTAATTTATTGGTTTATTAGAAAATAGTTTCACTACTGAGAAAACAAACTTAATGGTTGTATTTCAAGGATATTGAAGAGCACTTGTATGTGCAGTACTTTGTGAAATGGTTAAGAATGTTGTTTTTGGTCATTTGCAGCTAATGTTACACTTTTCATTACGTGTTCCCATTTGTAATTCGCACACTGTATATACATCATTTTGAATTTCACTAGGTAGTGAGTTTTGCTTTTGTTTAAAAAATGTTCCTTTCTTTATTCCATTATAAGAAATTAAATACAGCAATACAGTTAATTCATCTCCTCTTTCTTTAATTATCATTTGAAAAATATCCAATATTGTGACATACCGTATTGGATTTTCTTATGTTAACTACTTTGGAATAATATTTCCACTAAAAGTATTTCCAATAAAAGTATTAACACTAATAAGTAGTGAACTGGTAGATATTAAACATTTATACTGGCATGATATTACTGGTACACTACTGGTAGTGTAGTAGTTATTAGAGGTACTAGGACTACTACAGATTCTGCCAATAGAACTACTGCTGCTTTTATTACTTCTACTACAAAAGATTGAGCACAAAAGGAATTGCAGTTTTTGGAGTTTGTATTCTGAAGCAGCTTGTTTGAATCCTTTACGAAACAGCTGGATGAGATTCTTTGATCAATAAGCTGCTGAGAGCCATGGAGTGTTTTTTTTTCTTGTTTTGCAATGTTTCCTATGTTTTTATTACAGTAACAACAAAAAAAATAGTCTTCACATATGAACAGTAATAATGGCTGTAGTATTTATGACTTTCGTGATAATGAATCATTCAGGCTTTGATGAGTGTCTCTGTAATTTTCTCAGGAGATAATGAAGTGAAGAGAAAAGGCCAAGTGTTAATTCTGCTGGCAGAACAGGCTCTTCACTGCCAGGACTACAAGGCCTCCAATATCCACTGTCAGGAGCTCATGGCAACAGGTACTATCCAGCAGTCTCATTCAATGCACGCTTGATGTACTAATGAGCATAAGCACTTAAAATAAACTTAGTCTTAGAAATCACACCTTGATTTTAGCCTTTCAGCAGAATTGCTGAAGTGCGGAACTTGAGTGGCTCACAACGTAAGCACATTTTGGACACAACAGTGTGATCGCTGGTTTGAATTCAGTCTTTGTTAATTGGTGACTAAGACCAGATTCACCAAAAGAACAGCACACAAATAGCTTTGTGGTATCAGAGTTTCTTCAGTTTGTTATGCAGCAGCAACCTTGTGGCTATCCTGGGGCCTGGGGACTTCTGCACTTGCTGCTTTCATTTTGGATTTATAATGCAAAAAAAAATAGAATCCCCTACTGCCTACTTGTAAGATATGTGTGCACATATGTGGATTTGTTTGTGTATATATAACACAAGCGCTTGTGAAAGGAATATAGCGCATACTACACCCATTAAAAACTGACAGTTTCACAATATGAAAAAGGAAAAATGTGGAAAAGAACTAATTAGATAACACCATCTGATAGGAAAACTCAGAAACAGACAGAAAGGAGTACTAACCTGTTTTCTAATCATTTTATCTTACTTTTCTTATTTTTAGAATATACAGAAGTATTCATTTTAGTTATCATTCAATGAAAGTTAAGAGCTCTTCTTACCCTTTACATATTTTACTATAATTGGCTATATTAGTTATTTCTCATTCAAAGTGTCTATGTAGTTTAAAAGAGTATAACGAGCATTAAGTTTATGAATTGAGTAATACAACAAAACCTTGCACTCAGCCAGTGCTGAAAGGTTTATTTAAATAAATCTTAAATATGGAATGTTCAGCCTGAATTAGGTTGAATAAATGCTGGAAATACAGGAAGTGCATTTTTTTTACTGTTTTGTCTACTTATGTATGTTAAACTCCCAGATAGGACATACTAAATCCTATGAAAAAATACATTTCAGTTGATAAAATTCTTCTTCTGCCTTGTCAAGACAATTTTGAAAGCGAGATTGATAATATAATTTTAATTTGATTTTCTTTTTTCCCCCTGCACTTAAGTGGAGACTATGAGAAGAAAACTTGAATTAACATTTAATGTATGATGAGCCAGGACTGCAGATAAAAAAAGCCCTAATTACAAATTTGTTGAATCCAGGAAGCATAAGGATTTATTAAGTTGCAGACACAGGTCTGTTTGGTCTCTCAGAAAGACCCTTGGTAGACTTATTTACTGGAATGCAAAAGAAAACTCAACTGTGCAAGTCTCTGATCATAATCATAATTGGTCTCTATGGCTGATTTCCAAATGCATTGAAAATAGATCATGCTTTCCTCAGTTTGTTTTGTAATCACTGTACATTTACAGTGTCATTTTAACAGATTGCAAAGCATGCCTTGCAGGCAGGGATCCTAGAGAAAGAAAAATAAGCAAAGACGTTTGTATGCAGAGCATCTTGCATACTGTATCTTTGAGCCTAATAATTGAAGACTGCATCTAAATGCTGTTCAGATTCTCAAAGATTGCAAAGGGGCCAGATGCTCAGTTACAAGAGAGGTCATTTATCTGTTTCTTTTTTATCATTATTTCCCATCATGCTATTTTCTTGCATTGAAATATTTAACAAAGGATCAGCGGTGACCTTACCAATGACTGACAGCAATTCCAGATGGAATAGTGATTCTTTCTTTTTTTTGCCTTTCCAGGTTACAGTGATGGTTGGCAGGTCTGCAGCCAGCTGGGACAGTGTGAGAGCTACCAGGACCTGGGCACTCGGCAGGAGCTCATGGCCTTTGCCCTCACACACTGTCCTCCACATGTCATTCAGAGTCTGCTAGCTGCTAGTAGCTCTCTGCAAACACAGGTGGGTCTCAGAACATCCTGACAATAAGCAGTAATGTAAAACTGCGCAGAGACCAGGCATATAAAATTGCATGGGGAAAAAATGTCAAAATACAAGCTGTGTAGTTTTTGTTGTCTTCAATCACATAGAAGCAATGCAATCCAGTGCAATGGCGCATAGTTTATATTCTGTACAACAACACAGTTTAGAACCTCATAAAACTTCAGAATAATGCTCAGCCTAAAATAAACCATACTGAAGCAGGCATGTGCAAGCTTGTACTGACTAACCAATTTCTGCAGGGGAATCAGAGACTAGGGAAGGGAGATTATATGGATTTAAAGTTTTAGCAAATCTGAGGTTTTCTATGGCTGGTTTGTCTGTAGAATAATAGTCTATCTACAGAATTATAAATGTTGAATTCATATCATGTTGTGCCAAAGGTGTATAATTCTATATTAAAATGAAATTTTAAAATTGTCTTGCTCTTGACTTTAGAAGGCTTTTGCACAAAAGAGATGAGAGAAGAGGAAAATTACAAATCCCCAGACAATAGAGTACTTCATATACGGTTAGGTTAATGGAATTAATACTATCTGACAGATGTCACAGACAGAAAGCCTGAGGGGCGTATGAAACTTTTGAGTTCTGCAAAGTATTGAAGAGAAATAAAAGCATCAATCCTAAACCACCCATAAGATCTAAAGAAAGGGATTAGGTCAAGTAAAACTGCTTTTTTCTAAAAGTTGTTTCAATGCAAAATGTTTTAGTCTACATAGTAAATGCTGGATGGATATAAAAAAATACACAAAATATTAAGCGATGACTTTCATTAGCTACTTGCATCAATAGTAACTATCATATTGTTTTGTTTTTTAATGTATATTAGCTGTATTTTCATCTAAATAACCTTTTCTCTATGAATTGAGTTCATGAAATTTTTTAAATTATAACGTTTTTCTTTACAGCATGTAGTTCAGATCTTTAAGTAAACTAACTAATTTGAGATACAGAACATGGTTTCTCCATTCAGCATCGGTGTAGGCAATATGTGCTTAGAAGTAATTGTACCCTTTATATTAAATAATAAGATTTGCTAGGTATGGTACTTCTTAAAGCCACAATGTATACTTTTGGCTCATGGAATATTGCATATTTTCTGATCTGTGTATCAAGTTTTTCTCTGTCATGAGTTATATCATTATAAACTTTTCTGTTTTCTTTCACTAACTTTGTACTGTGATTTTAATTTACTTTGTCACAGTGTTGTAATTCTGAGTGCTCTGCTAAATTTATTAAGTGCCATATCACAATCTACAGTATTTACCATATTGACAGACTCACCCAACTATCTTTTGCAACCTTTTTAAATTTCTGTTTCCTTTGTTTGTACCTGTTTCCTTTACCTGTTTCAATATTTTGTGTGTGTTCTTTCTTATTGGAAAATGCATTAGGCAAGAGATGTTTAAAGCTATTGTACATATCAGAAGTGTGAATCTTGTGACACATAAAAAGAATGGTGGCAACATATTTCTTTGTTCATTCTCTTGGGTAATTATCTTGCTAAGTTCCAGTAACAACTTTAAAATACAGGAAAATGAACAATTTTAAAAAAATGTATTTTTAATTCAACTTCCACATGTGCAAGATTGGTTTTATATTAAGGGAATTTTTGGTTCATTGGGAGTTAACATTGTTTAACTTAGGAATTAAGCACAATAAGAAGTTTCTTCACGGCACAGATGAAGTGTGTGAGGTGATGAATGTTAAGCCAGTCTAGTGAGGTCACATGATAGCAAACAGATGGTACATTCATATCTTGGGGCCTATTTTATTTAATTGCCAGACTTCATAATTTAAGCATCACAAAGGAGAGACCTTGTTGTCAAATCTAACACGCTGGATTAATTAGAGGGGAATTCAGTTTTTCAGTGGTTGCTGTTCTTTCACCATTATGACTAAAGTAATTTGCCCTCTTTTCACTTTTGATGTGGCAATAAATGTGTGTCAAATTATACTTGTCTACTGTCTATCAAAATAACTTGCCTGACTTTTTGGATTTTTCTTATCTTGTTAGTTGACGACATTTTCGTATTTCACTATGAGTCAAATAATATAACTTTAAATGCATTTACCTGTTATTGTAAATAGCAGATAAAATATAGTTTAATTATACTAACAGTTTAAAGCTTTTATATTCAGTGGCATAAATGTTAATTTAAATTGGTGCTTTCCATTGCAGAACTGTGGAATTTTTGTTATTGTACAGTACTGCTGGCTCATACATTTTTATTGTTTTCTTTTTTCAGTATTATAATCTTGTTACTGAACTGAAACTGAAATATAGGAAAACAATCATTATTTCATAAAAAGACTAGTCTGTACCATTCTGAATTTCCATATCTTTCTTATTGAATATACTGTTCAAGCATTGTTCTCTTTTGTTCTTTCTTTGTGTAATGTATTGTTTGGATTTCTATTTTTTTTATTCTCGTTTTGTCTCGTTAACAGATCCTTTATCAAGCAGTGAACTACCAAATTAATCCCACTCATCTTGGAGAAGCATCTAATCATTTTGGAGCAGGGCTGGATGCTAAAGATTCCCAACCGGTCAGGCTTTTTGTTTATGGTGATTTTAAGGTGGCTTGTTTTGTTTCTTAACAAGGGACCAAAAAACTTCTTACCTTAAGCAGTTTGAAACTATCTTTTTAGTATAGCAGATTACACAACATAGTTGGTTTCTCTGTGGTTTCAAGAGGTAATAGTCGTGCAGATGGTACATGCAGATGTTTTACAATCACTCTAAAAGTATATTATTCCTAATTGACAAATTTTGGTTTTAAAAAGGTGTTTTATAATTAAAAGATGCCTATAATTTTGTAGCTGTTAATGATTACCTTCACAACTCAGTGTTATAGGCCTTGCAATATAAATTACATATCCTAAACGGTTGTCTGTCTTAAGTAAGAGCTAAACTACAGAACTTAAGATGTTCTGTACATAAATGACCTTATAAACACAATTGTATGCGGTGTGTATTAGCTCATTATAGGGTCATAAAGTATCTAACGGAGGAGTAAGTAAAAAGCGGAACATCAGAATGGTTCAAAACTAGTAGGAATTAAGCAAATTAAGAATAAATGAATGCCAATTAATGTTTTAGTGATTTATATAATGATTAAATAATGATTTATTTTAGATCCTTAAATATGGTACATATCATATGAATGTCATTTTAATAGCAGTTCATCTGTTGATGACAGTTATCCATGTTTACATACTGCTTTTCTCAGCTATAATCTCAACTAATTTGACAAGCATATTAGCAGGGTCAACAAACATGAAATTTAATTTTCTAAACATTTTTTACATTGATTTTAGACATTTAATTTTCTAAACATTCAGACATTTTAAAAATACCTGCTCCTACAGAGAATTTTACCTGATCAAATAAAACTGTTTCCTTGTGCATTTTAATTGACTTTTGCTTAAGGCCCCAGCTGTGTAGTAAAAATGGAAAATCAGATTGCTTTGATTTAAAATGCCTTTTTGAAACCAAATTCAATTTGGAGCAGGTGTTTTACCTTTATGTCTTGCTACACATTAGTTTTTGTTATTTTTTTTTTAAACTGACAAGTGTCATAAAAAAAAAGCATTGTTAGGTTTTCAAATTACATTTTGTTTATGGCAGTGCACATTTAGGTTTCATAATATTTTTGTGTTCACTGAAATATATAAATCAACATATACAGTATAAACGATGTAAACCAACATCAGCATCAAATACTGTCCTATCCTGTTATAATGGTCCACAATTAGGAGACTGTATTTTTTATATTTCACATTATCAATTACTAGTATTTTTGCTATTAAAATGACCTATTTTGTGCGTAAGACAGCATATATAATTTATCCATTATTTCACAGTACTAATACGTGTACCACCTTTTTTCAAATGAATTTATTAATTTCTATGAACTGATAATGAAGCCTACTAATTGCTTTCTTTATTTAATTGGGTGTTAAAGATTATCCATTTTAAATGAAAGTTGTCTATTAATTGGGTTTTTATTAATAAATAATAAACTCTGGCTCCAATGATTTAATTAGTCAAAGTGAGAGATTTAATCCGTAAGAGTACATTGAATTAGTTTTAAAATATCAAGAAAATATTTCAGTTTGTGTATTGTGTTTATGTTTGGGCAGTTAAAAATGGTGAAACACAGTGATAAGCACTGGTACATTGAAGTGAAATTGTCATTTTTGCTTTATACTATTGTATTGGTAATTTGTAATTTGTATTTCAGATCAAAAGATAAGTATGAGGTAAAGTACAGAAATACAGTTTTTATTCATTGATATTCCTGTGCATACAGTACATGTTAAACCATGTTGAACCAAAATTCTGTTTTTGTTCACTCCCCCCAATTTCAGGGCTGTATAAGTGTTGATACACATTAAGGTCAAAGTAAATTAAATTAGTGTAAAGGTAGTATTTCAATATCATTTGACTCTTGATATATTTATTTGTGATAATTTACGAAGTCTTAACTGCAGCCACTTTACATTTTTTCTTTTTTGTGCGGTTTTCTGACTTTTGTTTCCTCTTTAAAGTGTAAAATACAGCTTAAGATTCAAATCAGGATATTGACACCTGTATAGTTTAAACGTTTCTACTTCTTCTTCCTGATTAACTCCTTGGTTAAATGGGCAGTTTGTTTTGGGTCATCGTCTTGCTGCAGAATGAAGTGTTGCTCAATGGTCTTGGAGGCTTTTTTGGGCAGACACAATATTTCTGTAGACATCAGAATTCATTCTGCTGCTGCCATCATGAGTTAAATCATCAGTAAATATCAGTGAGCCATTTCCAGAGTCAGGCATGCGTTCCCAAGCTATCACACTACCTCTACCGTGCTTCACACATGAGGTGATGTGTTTAGGATTATTTTCAGCCCCCCACTTCCTCTGTACTTTTCCTTCCTGTGACTTTGATGAACATTTATATTTGTTTTGTTTTTCCATAAAACCTTATTCCAGAAGTATAATGGCTCAATTTTATACTTTCTTGCATATTATAATCTGATCTTTCCGTTTTTTTTTTTTATGCCGATGAGATATAGCCCTTGTAATTCTTCTGTTGAAGTCTTCTGAACGTGGTGATTCGAAATACTTTCATCCTCACACTCTGGAGATTGTCTGCAATCTCATTGGTTGTTAATTTTAGTTTGTTCTGTCCTCACTACTGTTATCTTCCTTGGGGGACCTGGTTTTTGACCATTGCTCTCTCCTCCTGTAGTTTATTTCTCTAAATATTCTGTATTGTTGATTTTGCTGTGCCTGATCTCTCTCTGCATTGGTTCTAATTGGATTTTGTTTTGCTCTCATCTTTAAAAGTGCTTGCTTTTCCATCTTGGTTTATGCCTTCTAACTCAAGAGGCAGACTCAAAATGTAAGCACCACGGCTGTGCATTCACAACTCTTTTATGTTTTTATAATTAATGCAACATGGAACACCAGAGCAAATAGAAGCATCTGTCAGCCATTTGTCCCAATACAGAACAGAATAAATAACATTGTTCTAAAGTGGATAAACATATGCAAAATAATATCAAAAACAAAAGCTGAAAGTATTTACTTTTGCCTCATATTAATTGTTTGATCTAAAATACAAATTTCATTTATGCATAGCAAAAATGACAAATTGCACTTCACTGTCCTAAAACATAAAGCATTTCTCTGTCACTTAAAAATAAGCAAATTAAAAAAAAAACCCTTTAGATTAAATAGCAGTGTTCCGTGGAGTAAAACTATTTATGTTTAAATGGAGTGTGTTTATTTATAGAATAATATATATCTAAGTATAATTTAGCCTTAATTTGCAGCAGAATCCAAAATCATTATGGATTGTTTACATTAACAGGAAGAGTGCAGTGCTACTTTAAAAAAAGAAATTTGTCCAAAACTTTTTCTGCATTTAACAACCTTTATTCCAATTGTTAGGTCACAAAAAAAGAAACATGGTTGTAATGTTTTTGACTTATACAGTTTTAGCTTCCTTTCATTACTTCCATTCAACAAGAAAGCTTATCAATACCTTTTGATGATGTATTCATAAAGCATACAGCAATATACAACATATGACAAAAACATTATTCCACCTTCTGTTAGAATTCTTGGTTTTCAGACGTATATATGTAAAGATAAGCCAACAGTGTAGTAATTGTGTTGTTAAAAACGTTTGAAAATAGCACACTGTGGCTTTGTTTCTTTCTAAACGCTGAAGAAAGGCTTTTGTCTAAAATGTCCCAATACAAATTAGTTTTTAACAATATTCTCCTCGTCTTTTCCAGTTATATATGTGTATATTCAGTATATATTGGCTTGAGTTGCCCGGCAATCCTGGAGAAAACGAGTGCTACTGTATATCACCTACTGGCAATAAATTACACATTAAGCAGTGAGAAATTTAATTTCATTTTGAAATGGTGCCACAATGCATTATCAGTGCATTTGACATTAAAATAATACATTTTTGCAAACCATGTTTTGGCCACCACTATTATATGATACTATAGACATAAATTAGCAGATGAATACCTAACATTTCTGTACATAGACCACTATCAAACAGTCACGATGCTTCTGTACAAACAAAGGAGAAATATCATTATTATAAAGCTAATTTGTAAATGGTTACAATTATTATTACATTCTTCAGTATCATGCAATATCTTTAAAGAGGTCTTGGAAGGTTGTGGAAAGGCTCTTTTTCAATATGTTGCCAATTACTTTACAGCCCAGCCTAAAACATTTCAAATCAGACAAAAAAATGCACATTGATGCACATCGATGTTGTAAGTTCATAACCATACAGTAACTCCTTTCAGGCATTACTGGATGAACTTGAGACTTTAAATGTATAAATATGTTCTAAGACATAATTAAAACAGAATGGGCTACTAGTGCAATTGTGCACCAGGATGTCTGGGGTGTTTTTGATCTTTATTTTTTTTTTTAATTTACTATACAGAATACTTTCAGAAATGCAGTCCTTTAATGGGTTTTTTTCTGGGATAAAAGAAATTCACAAACTCTCCATCCTGTCACTGGGTGATATGTGTTTTGTTAACAAAGATTAATCATATGTTTGATTTAGCCTTGCAAGATGGCATGCACTTTGTATGGACATTATTCTGCACCTGCAAAGTTCCTGTTAATCCTCTGTATGTTTCCAAACAGTTATGGTTTAAAATTCAGCAAAGTACTGATGCCTGCTTAAACTTAGCAAATGTTTGACAGCTTTTGTATCAGCATATTTTTAAGTTGCTTTCTATGACAGATGAGACATCCTGTACATTATCCAGATCAATAGTTTTAACATTGCAGTGCTTGCTTGTATGGTATTCTTTTGTTCTCTAATTTTGCTGGTGAATGCTTCATCTTGTAGGCCGATGCAAAAGCTTCTAGCACAAGGCAATCTGCAGATCTGCTACATCGAACCACAGCTAAAACTATAGAGGTTCTCTCTAACACCACTATGACCACCAAGGCTGTGCTGCATGCAGTCAGTGATTCACAATGGTGGAAGAAGTCAATCAGTTACCTGCGACCTCTACATGTAAGACAATTTTACATGATCAAAATATTAAAATGACAGAAGCCCCTGCCACTGTATGTTAACATGCTATGCACAAAAATGATAGTTTATCTGTGGGGTTGTTGTTTCTAGTAAGCCTATACACTACAAGGTGGAAACAAAAAAGCCACATGGCAGCATACTATTTTGTTAGAAATTAACAAGTAATGTTAGAAAGAAGGAGTAGAGGTTACTTTCCTGCCTACAAAGTCAAAAGCAGAAATAACACCTTTTCAGATGTGGAGCTTTCTTTCCATGTGTGAAAGTATGTGTGTACAATCACCGCTCCCCACTAATCATTAGAATGGTACTATATCACAGAAAATAGAATACTTAGTTTAACACATGGTTTAACACATGGTCTCCATGTCAGTGATGCATACTTGAGGAGAGAAGGAGTATAAAATACTACTGCGTGGTGACTCACCTACATATTAACCATTTTTAAATTAGAATAGCTAGTTATTAAACAGGGATTTGTATCTAAAGTGAATGGGGTGAACTAGGTAAAAACAACTGCTTCTGCAGAAACTTTCAATTTCTTGCTTTACTCCTCAATGATAGAGCACATGCAGGTTAACTTGCACAAATGGGAAATAACCAGGGATTGAACTAGGGAGCTTCTAGTAACAGACCCCTTTTCTGAAACATAAGATCCTCTCCAGAGGCTCTTTTTTCAATTGTGCACCATGTTGTCCATAGGGATTCCTGGTCACAGTCAATGAAATTAGACTCCACATGGCAATTTCTCTTACACATTACATTGTCAGCTAAACAAAATATACTAAATTTGCATCATATAATAATTTTATATTTTATGCTTTTGCCATTATCCTTGTTTCTGTAGTTTCTAATATACAAACACCACAAGAACATATTCTGAGAGCTGGACATTTAGTGAATTAACTTGTAAAGCAAAAACCACTATGTGATTATGAGAGCTCAGATCAAACTACCCAGTAGTACTGTTATACTTGACATGCTGGATGTTTTGAAAAAGCAGTTGAATGAGCTCCTCAGATCAGTGTGCTACTAGCAATGAAACTAGCAAGATTGGCCAAATTGCCTGTCCTCATTTACAGCCTAATTTACGTTTTTATGCAGATGCAACCTTTAGCACATCTATTTTCATTTTACAGTTACATTCGTGTTCCACTTGAATGTCATTTTAGAATTCCATTTGTTTTAAATTAAACGTCTTCTGTCACAATTATACGTGCAGAAGGTGTTAAAACACAGAAGGGTAGGAGGTTTGCCTTTTTAAAGTAAGAAGACTCCCGGTTCAAGCACCAGCTCTTCTAATGGCTCGCTATTATCCTGAGCAAGCAAATTTAATTCCTTAAGCTCTATGCTCTGTCTGACAGAAACTGTTGATGCATCAATCACTCTGTACTCTCGAGAACTTGGTTTGGGTAAAAGTAGCTTCTGAAGTGGGTAAAAATTAAAAGAAAATTAAAGCATTGCTTTATATAGCACACTGTTTCATATTTAATAATTTCTTTTAAGATTTCACAGTCAGTGACTGTGCATTATAAAAAATAGGCAAAATCTATTTTCGCAACAGTGTTTATGATATCAATTTTAATTTTGATTAAAGAGCCCTAATGTATTATGATGAGAGACTGTATTCATCTCTAATCACTCATGTCTCTGGGGGAAAAAAAAACCCAACAAAAACAAAGATTCAGTCTTCTGTCACTAGATGACATGTAGACACATCTTTTTTATGCATTTATATATGCATAAAAATAAAAAAAATGCTTCAGTTGGGCTAAGATAAATGTAAAAGTAGTAAGCCTGATGTACTCTCTGCCATTGGAATATATAATATCTAATATGATCTATAATATATAATATGATGGAATATATAATATGATCTCTCATAGAACATGTGTGCAACATAATGTTTATTTTTCTTTATCTCTGGCTTATATAGCCTGATTTCTAAAACACAGATTTAATTCTCAGTTCAACAAGGTAAATTGTAGGCATTCAAACACTTGTTTCCAATTTTGTAATATTCCATCATATATGAAGATATTCATATAAATGTAATCAATTTAATTAATATAATTATTTGGAGTGCACCATTTTCGATTCCTGCATCTAACAAATGCCTGATTTTAACTAGCAATTCCCAAGGCTTGAATAACAGGATATTAACTATTAATATTTTATTCATTTTTAATTGACTAGTTGTTTGCCATATTTTGTGTGTTGTTTTAGGAAATTGATTGCTGCTTGGCCTTTACCATGTCTTTGTTGTGAAGAATATCCTTGAGAATTGATATAGCAGAAGTTGATGCCAGACATTATAAATATTTCATAGCACTTTGTTTTCTTAGGGTCAAGGACTGGCTTCTTCACTAAAGGGCATAGCTGAAGAAAATGCAGATATGGAAAAACAAGGCTGCAACCCTTTCTATGAGTCTCTACTGGATAATCCCTACACTGATAAAGTAAGTACTGAAAAACTTTTTACAGATAGATGAAGACAAGATTGTGTGTGCATCTTTCATACCTTTGTGGGACCCAGGAAGGCATGAAAGTGATAGTAAAAAGTCAGGCTAATTCCAGCTTTAGAAAACATGAGAGGGTAATGAAACACCCTCTTGATTTCTTGTTGAATGTAACTTGTCCTAGGATCAGCTGTAATCATTTTGAAACCAATAAAGCATAGCACTCACCATGTAAAGGACAATTCTTTCATATAATTAACATACTTATAAATTGTCTTGAAATTTCTTGTTCCTCCTCTTCCTCTTTCATTTCATTTAAACATGTAGCATATTTCTTTTTTTTCCGTTTCTTTTAGAGTGAAGTGACGTACACATCGTATGAGCACAGCCCCTTGGAAAACTTTGCTGAGGTTTTACTGCGGACAGGAAAACTAGCAGAAACTAAGAGCGAAGGCCAAAGCCTATTTCCTGCAACAGAAGGTAAAATGCACATTTCTTCCCTTTCTTCATATTACTGTATGTGTCTTTAAAATGTAATCTTAGGAAAGCATGCAGAGAAATTTCTCTTTGTTCCCAGAGATTTTTTTTCATGTAATATTTTGTAATGGTGTCAAAATATCATATCAGTTAATGATTATGAGCTGAATTAGAACATTAAAAACGGAGAAGAATTATAATTCTTTACATTTTTTGTGTAGTGCTTTTCATCATAAATTATCTGAAGCACTCAGGAGGAGACCCATTTCATCCTACACTGTTTTAGTTAAACACACAATGTGACCGACATTTTCTACTCACCATATTAGGTGAAAAAATGAGGAATTCCTTCACCTAATGGGGGCATTGCTTCAAATAAGGAGAACTGCAGTGCTGTTTTTTTATATTTTGGGGTTAAAAAGAATCAGCACCGGTGAGTGCCTTTCGTATGCACAGCTCCATATTCTGCGATTAAGAAACGAGGTAACAAAACTACTGGTGACCTGATGCAGCCTTGTGATGAAGCCTAGCAGGCTTGTGAATGTCCTTTTTAATCTAATAAAAATATGCTGTCGATTTCGAGATGATTGTGCCGACAAACACTACTTGTTAACTCTGCATACAGATCACAATGGAACATTTCTGCAGTTCAATGTCTGCTGAACATTTTATACTTATTCGCTCGTACGTCACATTACATTAGCCTTTACAATGACTAATGTGCAGGAAGGGCCACTTCATGTCTCAATTCGTGGGAACTCTTGCTCTCCCCTGTGGCGAGACCAGAAGTTTGCAACAACATGGTGACTTACAGTACTTTTGCAATTTTGTGCTTAATTTGAAATGTGTAAATTATTTATACTGTCGATGAATTTATCTTATTAACAAGATTTAATAACCAGTCTGAGAAACTGGGTCTGCTGTTCCACTTTAAAGGGCAAACTTTAGGTAGGCTGGATTTCTGAAATCCAAATTGGAATTAAGCCAGAACACTGAGGAAGCACTCCTGTTCTGACAAGCAGTTTCTTGGCTCCTATAATGACCAAGTTGTTAGAGTCCCAGTTTAGCTTCTCATCTGTAGTCTGGCATCGCATACAACACAGAGTCTGCTGTTACCATACCGGGGCATTGAACTAAATGGAAGTGCACCTACAGGTACACCAAAACCATTTACAACATTATTTTTATTATAGGTCTCCTATACTGGGCTGCCGTTTTCATCTTGTACTATTTTTGTACAAAATAACTGTATTAACCCTATGACACAGTAATACACAATAAAACACAGAGACATAAGCCTAATTTGTTTTTTTTTAAATATGAGGGTATTAATAAAACTGAGTTATTAAATTACTGTTGTTTTTGTTCATACTCAAGATCAATAAAGTATTAAATTAGAACATCTAAAAAGGTACCTGCATGAATAAAATCCAAAGTGGAATATAAAATACTTTGTGATAGAAATTTAATCTGATTGACTGCCAGAATAAATTAAATGGATTTTTTTTGTGTTGAGATTTTCATTTTGTACTTTAAATGAAAGACCTTTAGCAAGATCTATCTATTTTTTTGTTGTTGTTATTCTGTAATATGAATGTTTGTGAACAAATGCAATAAGTGATTTTTGACAAAGAAGGAAGGTCATTGGTACATACAGTAAACATGGTATGGTTTGGTATGGCTATATGGTTTGAGAATGATGTTGTTTTGCATAGATTTTATTAACTAATCCTTTTTCTAATATTCCTCCTTTAGTTGTTTCTGTTATTACATGAGGTCGTAACTACACGATCATTACAACAATGATTGCATTGTTTTAAGTATTTTGTCAAAAGTGGTAGGTTATAGAGCCATCTGCTACATTGTTATTACTGTCAGTTTTAGAATGAATTACTTGTATACTAATAAATACATCCTTTAATTAATTATTGTTTTTCGGGAATGTATTTAATGAGTTAGGAGCTGTTTTGTATTTGTAATCATGTTTTGTATTGCATTTACATTTGCTTAAATTATATATATTGAAGATCAGTGGCACATGCTAAGAATATATGCACAATATTTTTATTATTCATAGTTATTGGTTGTCCAAGATTCAAGTTTGTCTCACTTTTTTCATAGTTGATTTTGAAATTGATTGAACATTCTTTTTCCATTTATAAGTGTTCTAAAACCATTTTAGGAAGAGGTTTGTGTATCATGTCAGATGGGCTCCACAATCTCCTTAACTCTCTTATCACTTGTGAAAGTCTCCTTCATACTTAAAAGACTCTTCTGGACAATAATACAATAAGGGCTGCATTTTTAAAGAGAATATAGACATACATCCAAGACCTGTCACGTTCCTGTTTTCCAGTGTGATGTGCTACCTTTCTGGCTCAATGTTTTACCTGCACAGGTTCTTTAGCAAAAATGTTGCTTGCTACAGTCTTATGAGATATACCTTTTTTACTTCTATCAGACTCTAGCTTGGATATCTCAATGTTCTCAGTATGTCAGTTTAAAAAAAAAAACACCTGTCTCGCTGAGGTTCCTTGATCAGGGAGTGAATATGAAGGAAACATTCAATCATGAAGACTAAGGAGCTTTCAAAGCAAGTTGGGAGTATTCATTGAAAGGCATAGATTAGGTAAAGGGGACAAAAAGCATTGAAGTCTCTGAATACCCCAGTGAGCAAAGTCTACTCAAATCATTGGATAAGTTGGGATACAGTGTGCAACAGTCAACAATATTTCATCACCCCTCAAAGGGGACTAAAATAAAAACCATCTCAAATCCTACATAGGGTTTGTAACAAGGAACCTAAGAGTCAGTGCAAACATTTTACAATTCATTAACATCTTCATTCCATGCTGGGAAATAAAGCGGAGAGACAGTGTTTTGGAGACAGAGCTTTCTACGAGTGTGAGGAACAGAGTAAGGTACAGTAGTAGGAATATAAAACACAGGGAAACAAAGGACAGGGTAGGTGAGATTGGGCACAGAGCAGGTGAGAAAGAGTGTCCAAATGAAGAGAGGTCTGACAGACTGTTGTGAAAAGCTGAAATCTGTAAATTAATGGAGAGAATTTAAAAAGAGTTAGTCTATCATTGAGAGAAAGAGGAAGGTGTGATCCAAGTTTAAATTTAATTTTGGCTTTTGATTTTTTTTCTGGAGTAAGAGCAACAGTCCTGTAATCCCTGTAAAAGGGCATATACAGAAATGTCAGATAAATTGTAACAGGTGAAGGTGAAATGGGCTCAAAAGATTAATGATTTAATTAATGAAATTGGTCTTTTTCCGTATTAGTTTTGCTCTGCAGTTGTACACAGTTTACATTGTACTGTATTTAAGATATGCTGATGAGTAAATATGTATATTTGGAAAAAATGTATTTATAAATAAATATTTTAATAAATATATTAATGTGTGATCATGCATCTGTGACATCAGTCATAAAAAAACAAATATGTGTAATTGTGAAAGTAGGAAATTTGAAATATTGTGATAGAGCATAATTTCATCCTCACTGTTCTGTCAGTTCCTTGGTCAGACAGTCTTCTTCCTTTGTTGCTAATGCTACGAGATTACTCTATTCACATGATGATATGTGAGTGATTTTGAAATATATTTATAAACGATTTTGGATGCGTATTTGCTGGTGATAAAGTGGCTTCTGTTACAAGAAAGGATAGCTGTTGTGGATGGTACAGTACCTGTACACAGTGTCCAAAAGAAACTGCAAACAAGGTTGTTGAAGTAGGTGGACAGGGAGATAAGATGAAAAGGTGTCTGGGAAGAAAGTTCCATTTTGTAAAATGGAGATGTTGTCTTTAATGATCCTAGGAACAGAAAGGGTGTTGGGGCAGAAGGGAAGCACCAGAGGAATTCAGTATACAGTAGGTCTGGAAATTGTCGGGTTGATGTTACAGCATCTAGGGCAGTGATTCTCAAACTTTTTGGACCAAGTACCACCCCTTATCCAACCAAAGCATCCAAGTACCACCTACAAGTCATCTTCTCATAGGAACTACAGAAAATCTCAATGACAAACATGAGCGCGCGTGCACACACACTCACACATACATATAATAAATATTATAATAATAAACTTTATTTGATATAGCACCTTTAAAGGTGGCTTCTCAAAGTGTTTTACAGAAAAAAAAAACATTAACAACAACTAATAAAAAAGCACCATTTCAGTGAGAGGGGTGAGCCTGTTTAGT